CATCCAAACAAGCCTCCATCTCAGCCAGTTTGAAAAATCTGTCATCCACTATGGACTTTTCTCCTGTTTTTTTCACAGTGCTTTTTGATGTTCGGGTTTGCTGCTCCAACTTATCAATGTCAAAGTCCATATTGGAATCATCATCACTAAATGCATCGTCTTCCATGGTCCCAAGCCAGTTTCTCTTTCCTTCAAGCTCACTTTCCTCTTCCAGATGACCATTGCTGAAATCTGCCTCTACTTCCATCTGGTCCTCATTACCCGCCTGATCCTCATGGTCTTCTGAGACAGAACCATCCTTGTCTGAAGCTGGAAGAAGGCATAGTTCCTCCTCTCCCTCCACATCTCTAGCAACAGCTCTCTTGAAGTAGCCTAGAACTGCATTATTCTGGAGTTCTAGCTGTTGCCAAATCTGCTCTTCATCAAAGTTCTCTATCACCAGTTCCTTTAAAGGACTTCCAGAAATAACATCAGCTCCAAGCATTTTGTGGAAATCGTATAGTGTTTTTGTTAGAGAGATGAAGTCATCTGCAAGTCCATCCTGAATGCTGGAGTCAAAACAAATTGTAAGACATCATGCATTTTAAAAGTCATAAAGTTTAGGTCTTTGTCAGATCAAGATGCAGAAACAGGAAAAGTATGTGAAAATACAGGCATATCTCAGCGATATTGCAGGTTCAGTTCCAGACCACCACAGAAAACCAAATATCTCAATAAAGCAAGTCACACAAATTTACACTATATTGTAGTCTATTAAGCCAGGTCCCCATGGCTGCAGGGGTGGGAGGGGGAAAACCTGACCCCAGCCCTAGCCAGCTCCACTCCTGTGGCCAGAAGGGGAGCAGCAGCAGGGGAGTGGGAGGCTGGACTGCATGCAGCTGCGCCCGTGTCCTCATAAGGAGTAATATCTGCGGAATAAAATTAGGTATGCTTACTGCTGGTACAGAATGCACGCAAGTTGGCATGCAACATCAGTTCTGAACAAACTGCAGTTTGCTAATACACTAACAATACTCAAGGTTTTGAGGTTAATGCAGAAAGCCTTCAATGACATGGGTCCCCAAAACTCAAAGGAGAACTTCTCCCTATATCTACCACACCGTGCTTTGAGATCTGCTGAAGAAGCCCTTCTAAATGGTCCATCTGACAGGCACTGTCCCTTGTCCGCCTTCCTAGTGGTGACACCCCACCTGTGGAAACCCCCATGGCTACAGTACTGAGGGTATTCTTCCAAGATCCATAGCAAAGTTACTTGGACTGCTGTTTGATGCTTAAAAACATTCTCTCTCCTCCTCCTCCTCTCTCTGTATACACATATAACACTGTGTGTGTGTGTGTGTGTGTGTGTGTGTGTGTGCAGTGCCAGATTTAAGGTGATGTGACTGGTTCCAACGTAAAGGTTGGCCCCTCCAAGCCATGGGGGTGCAAAATAACAACAACAACAACAATAATAAAACCCATATTTATGGGTACCTACTGAGATCCATTTTAAAACTACTGTACCAAAATGAATTATGATTCTGTTGTGAAAATAAGAAATATTTTTGGGAGGGCGCCAAATTTTGTCTTCGCTGAGGGCACCATATTATCCAAGTCTGCCCCTGGTGTGAGGTGGGTGGCTCTTAAGTCGTTGCTGGACTCCCCTGCCCCAGATAGCAGCATCTGGGATGGAGGGAATTGTAGCCCAGCAACGACCTACAGCCTGGACGACCACAGGCTCCCCCCGCCTGGAATTACCCCCACATAATGCCTGTAACCCCCCACGCCAAGGGAGGGGGCAATATCCCGAGCCAGCCGTCCTCGAGAGGAAGCCTTCCGGCGGCGCCCGGGGCCAGAGCCCACCCGGGGACAGCATGGCGGGGGTTGGGCTAGATGCCCCTCGGGGGTCCCTTCCGACTCTACGATTCTGTTTCCATGAAACCAACTAGCTCAGCTCCAAGGGTCTCAGGGGGGCCGACTCTGGAGCCGACTCTCGCCGGGTAGCACTCGCCCGCGTGCTTCGGGATGCTGAAGACACGCGTGCTTCTTTTTTTAAAATGGCCGTAACGTGAGCACGCGCGCACGCGAGGGCGCTTTACCTGAGGAACCGCTCGGGGTGGGCCGTGGCGGCGCCCAGTCTCTCCAAGCAGGCGCCCAGCCTTCCGCCCGCCATGGCCTCGTCGTCTTCGCCGCCTCCGCTGCGCCGCCCGGCCCGGCCGCGTCCCTCGGCCCGCCGAGGACAGTTCCGCCTCTCGGTCGAGCGCAGAAGGTTCCGCGTGCGGGGAAGGAGAAGGAGGCGGCGCCGGGGCTGAGCTCCTCCTTCCTGGGGGCGAGAGACCAAGAGCTCGGGGCGGAGGAGGCGCCGCCGGGAACGCGCGCAGAGACACTATGGATCGCATAAAATCCACGCGCCTCCTGACTGCTACGCGGTTTGAAAAGAGAATAAAACAATAAAATGATCAGTTTAAAAACAACAAGAGAAGACAAGTCTGAATCATTTGAAGCATAAAGCATGCGGAAAGGGGCCCCAGAGGACAAATAGTCCAGCCCCAGAAATGCAGGATTCTCCACGCGATCCTGCGTGCCAGGGGGCCATCTGCGAGGACGGAAAACAGATGGCAACATAAATCCTCTTAGCACTCTAAGTCCTTTTAAATGTGTTTGTGGAAGGGGGAGTTGGGGGTTTGATTTCTTGTTCTTATTCTGTCTTTTGTGTTTTGTATTTTTATGCTGTGAAATAAAATTAAAGCTTAACTGTTTCTCTATAGATAGATATATACACCCCCCCTTTCCCCCATGGAGCTCAAGGTGGTGTACATAACCCCCACTTCATCCCCACAAACAACCCCAGGAGCCACACTGCTCTTTGCATGCCTACTCAGGAGTAAGCTCCATTGATTTCAAGCAGGACTTGCTCCCAGTTAAGTGTGCATAGGATTCTACCAGTTGGTGGTTCTAGCCCCCCAGGGATGGCTCTGGGCAGGATTCCTGCATTGCAGAGGGTTGGACTAGATGACCCTTGGGATCCCTTCCAACTCTACAATTCTGAGCTAATGCATCACAGGGGTGGGGAGCGGGGACAGGTCCGTCCAGACGGTGACGGACTGCATCTTCCAATATGACCCTTGGACATGCTGGCTGGGGCTGTTGGTAGCTAGAATCCGGAAGACGACTAGTTTTAAATTCCTGCTGCATGCAGAGCATGCAGGCCAAGCATCATTTTATGCCACTCTATCATGTCTCCAGGGACGCGGGTGGTGCTGTGGTGTAAACCTCTTGAGCTTTGGGCTTGCTGATCCGAAGGTCGGTGGTTCGAATCGCCGTGATGGGGTGAGCTCCTGTTGTTCGGTCCCTGCTCCTGCCAACCTAGCAGTTTGAAAGCACGTCAAAATGCGAGTAGTTCAATAGGTACCGCTCCAGCGGGAAGGTTTCCATGCGCTGCTCTGGTTCGCCAGAAGCTGCTTAGTCATGCTGGCCACATGACCCGGAAAAACTCTCTGTGGACAAAGGTTGGCTCCCTCAGCCAGTAAAGCGAGATGAGCACCGCAACCCGAGTTGTTCACGACTGGACTTAACTGTCAGGGGTCCTTTACCTTTATCATGACTCCTGCTAGGAGTTGTTTCTTTTTGCTTTGTTTTATGTCTTATCAATTAAAAAAACCTCAGTGTGGCATGAGCAATTTTTTATTCTGAAAGTGTGACCCAGAGAAAATAGTTTGAGAACAGACTAACATGACTATCCTTCTGCAGCTTAATATTAAGGCCACAGGTGATCCTGGGTCTTTAGTCCCAAGCATCTGGTATTCAGAGGTAGACTGCATCTGCAGATAGAGGCTTACTCTCTGTTTGGTAAAGCACCAAAGTACATATATTTAATAAATAATAATAATAATAATAATTTATTATTTATACCCCGCCCCTCTGGCTGAGTTTCCCCAGCCACTCTGGGCTAAACAGGACTGCCTTCTAATATTTTATAAAAGTCTGATAGTTGTTTATTTCCTTGACATCTGACGGAAGGGCGTTCCACAGGGCGGGTGCCACCACCAAGAAGGCCCTCTGCCTGGTTCCCTGTAACTTTGCTTCTCGCAGTGAGGGAACCACCAGAAGGCCCTCAGCGCTGGACCTCCATGTCCGGGCAGAACAATGGGGGTGGAGACGCTCTTTCAGGTATACTGGGCTGAGGATGTTTAGGACTTTAAAGTTCAGCATCGACACTTTGAATTGTGCTCGGAAATGTCCTGGGAGCCAACGTAGGTCTTTCAGGACCGGTGTTATGTGGTCTTGGTGGCCGCTCCCAGTCACCAGTCTAGCTGCTGCATTCTGGATTTCCACAGTTTTATTTGTATGCTGCCTTCCATAGTTCAACCCATGCTCAAGGCAGCTTACAACATGAAAAACACTTGTAACTACAACATAACAAACATAGTCATAAACAATAAATAAAATACACATAAAAAATACCCAGCCCAGCTGAGTGGTGCTGGTGGTGCTGCCTCAGATGCCAGAGTCAGGTAGAGCCTACCTTGTAGGGAGGTTTGATCATGGGCAGGCAACCTAAGGCCCGGGGGCCGGATGCAGCCCAATTGCCTTCTCAATCCGGCCCACGGATGGTCCGGAATCTGCGTGTTTTTACATGAGTAGAATGTGTGCTTTCATTTAAAATGCATCTCTATTATTTGTGGGGCATAGGAATTCGTTCATTTCCCCACCCAAAATACAGTCCGGCCCCCCACAAGGTCTGAGGGACAGTGGACCGGCCCCCGGCTGAAAAAGTTTGCTCCCCCCTGGGTTTGATCCTTTATGCTTCTCTTTAAACACACACACACCAGATGCTGGGCACAAACTAGGGAAGGATGTTGGATTTAGCTCTGACTTTAGAGCTTCTTAGACCAGAAGTCTCCCCTCTCCCCTTTGAGTCAAACGGGAGTATTTGGCTAAAGCCATTAGAAAAAGGGTCGCGCTAGGACCGCGCGGCGGCTCCTTTCTGCGGCTCTCCCCGGCGAAGGCCGCCTCGCCATCTTTTCGCGAGCGCCGCCTCGCCTTACCTTTTTGAGCCTGCGGCGGTGCCGTTGCCAGCGCTCTGTCGCCTTCGCTCTGGCTTCATGGAAGCGGGTTCTTCGTTACAGCTGCTCTGCCGGGCGTGCCAGCTTCAAAGATGGCGGCCCTCTCGCGACCCCTGACAGCAGGTAGGGCTTCCCAGGCTCAGGGGGAGGCGGGGCTCCGAGGAGGAGACCCCTGTGGGGGGGGGGGCAGGCTGCACTTTGCAGGCGACGAGGGAAGGGACCTGGAGAGAAGCTTTGCTTTGCACACCTTGATTTGTCCCTCTTTTTGCAGCCTCCTGGAGAAGGCAAGGTCTCTTCCATTGGGTCCCACCAAGGCGACGTCCGCACCAGGCATTGAAGGCGCTGTGATGCCACTTTAAACAGGCCTGGCTCCCCCGCCAATAAATAGTTTGCTAGAGGGGCAGAGAGCTACAATTCCGAGCTACAATTCCGAGAGTGGATTAACAACCATAGAATAATAGAATTGGAGAGTAGAGTTGGAAGGGAACCCGAGGGTCCTCTAGTCCAACCCCTGCAATGCAGGAATCTCATGACAGATGGCCATCCAAGCATTGCTCCAAGGAAGCAGAGTTCACAACCTCCTGAGAGAGTCCATTCCAAACAGCTCATATTGTCAGAAAGTTTTTCCTGATGTTTAGTCGGAATCTTCTTTCTTGTAATTTGAACCCATTGGTTCAAGTTCTACCCTCTGAAGTAGGGTGAAACAAGCTTGCTCCTTTAGTACCCTTGGGTGCAGCTCATCAGGCCCTGGAGATTAAATTCATTTAAATAGCTAGGTGTTCTCTGACCACCTCTCTTCCTGCTTTGGGCTGCAGCTCCTCCTTGCATCATTTATTCTGTTGTTGCCAGATTGGGCACTGCTTTCCTTTTGGGTGAAGGTGAGTTCCCTGGGGAACTGTGGGAAGGGGAATAGGGGAGTCAGCACCTTTAACAAACTACAGTTCCCAGGATTCTTTGGGAGAAGCCACAACTGTTTCAGTGGCATGATACTGCTTTAAATGTATCGTGCAGATGGGGCCTCCCTCTCCGATGTCAAGTTCTACTTAAATATCCCCCTCCTAGAGCTACAATTCTCAGAGTGGTTTAACGAACTGTTATGTTTAGCTGCTAGGGATTGCCCACCCGCCGGATCTCCAAGGCTGACTGCTCTATGCCCACACGCCCAATCTCAACACACACACACACACACACCTCACGGATCTCCATGGCTGCTCCTTCACACCCACCCACCCACCCACCTGATCTTCATGCCCACCCTACATACTTCCATGTTTCAGACATCGTGATATTTAGGCATATCGCAATGTTTAGCTGGTGATGTATCATGATGTTGAGAACTGGATATTCCACAGCCCTAGTTGGAGGGGACCCACTGCAATGCAGGAATATGCAGCTGTCCTATACAGGGATCAAACTGCAACCGTGGCATTACCAGCACCAGGCTCTAAGGGACTGAGCTATTCAGTTGCTCATGGGCCATCCCCCCACCTCTTGAATTTCTGAGGGTCTGAGGGAAGGAGGCAGTCTTTTCAATATTGGAGGCCTAATATCCTTCCTCCACAATCTCACCATCTGTTCTAATGTGCTCATGCACCCTGATGTGGTCTGTATCCTGCCAAGCCCCTTGGCTGCAAGGAGGGTGGATTGTTTCCCATGTGACTTGACAGCCTTACATCTGAAAAGGATCTAGGCACCAGAAAGCTTGACATGAGTCCACAGTGTGATGCAGCGGGGGGGGGGGGGGGCGAAGGCTATTCAAGGCTGCATCAAGAGAAGTCTAGTGTCCAGATCAAGGGAAGTAATAGTCCCACTCTATTCTGCCTTGGTCAAACCACATCTGGAATACTGCGTTCAATTCTGGACACCACAATTTAAGGAGGATATTGACAATCTGGAACATGTGCAGAGGAGGGCAACCAAGATGATCAAGTGTCTGGAAGTCATGTCTTATGAGGAACTGTTGAAGGAGCTGGGTATGTTTATCCTGGAAAAGAGGATACTGAGAGGACTAATAGATTCAAATTACAAGGAAGGAGATTCTGACTAAACATTAAAAAGAACTTTCTGACGGTAAGTGTGCAACGGACTCCCTTGGAAGCTGGTGGTCTCTTCTTTATTGGAGGTTTTTAAGCAGTGGTCAGATGGCCATCTATCTTAGATTCTTTAGCTGTGATTCTGGCATTGGAGGGGGTTGGACTGGATGACCCTTGGGGGTCCCTTCCAACCCTACAATTCTATGATTTTGCCTTGAATTTCTACAGATAATGACTGCGAGTGTGTGTGCTGCCGGGGTGCCCATGGGGGAACTAGCAAGTGCCCCACCTTCCACCACTAATTGAGAAAGCTTTCACTATACATTGAAAATGGGACACTTGGGAACTCTCCAGAAGAAACAGAATGGAGAACACAAGAGCAAATGCCAAAGCATTCTAGGAAGTGCTGGATAGCCTTCTTTCTCTTCAAGTGTTAATTCCAAATGCTCGTTGTTTTGCTTATGAGGAGGAAAAGGTATAGAAAGGAGAATTCCTGGATGCTAAGATCCAAGTGTGGGGCAAGTACTCTTTGATGAGAAAACCACAGGGTAGATTTAAAGTCACAAAATATGCAGCAAAGTAAGGGGTGGAAATATATGGTAGGCTGTTAGACCTTTAAAATAAGGTTAACCATAATGCTAAGCAAACAAAAGAACCAGAGTCTTCAGGTTCATTTGTGGCACCTGAGACAAGAGCTCTGGTGGAAAGCGCGGAGTGCCGGTCCTGTATTATTACCGGAGCTGGTATTAATGGTCAGGAAATGCCCAGATAAGCAGGTGCATTTTTAGCTGCTGGCAGAAGCACCCCACAATTGATGCCTGCTTGATCTCCCACTCCTTTCTAATGGAATAGAGCTCTTCTCCAACATGGAGAATATGCCCTTTCTGATTGTCACATCCAGACAACAAGTTAACACGGAGTACTTGTAGGTACAGAGCCTCGGTTTGGGACCAAGGTATTGCTGCCATCATCGCATAAATTGGTCTAATCCCCTTGTAGAAGCACCAGCCATCACAACCTCTTGTAGTACCTGTGGATTCCATAAGTTTAATTTTCCTTCCTTGGGGACATTCCCTGGCAAGAGGGATTGACTGTTAAAACCACACTGCAAACTGTGGGTCTGTGAGGGGAATTGGAGTCCCCTAACAACTCTCAACAACAACAAACTACAGCACCCAGGATTCTTTGGGGAGGGAGTCATAGAATCATAGAGTTGGAAGAGACCACAAGGGCCATCGAGTCCAACCCCCTGCCAAGCAGGAAACACCATCAGAGCACTCCTGACATATGGTTGTCAAGCCTCTGCTTAAAGACCTCCAAAGAAGGAGACTCCACCACATGCCTTGGCAGCAAATTCCACTGTCGAACAGCTCTTACTGTCAGGAAGTTCTTCTTAATGTTTAGGTGGAATCTTCTTTCTTGTACTTTGGATCCATTGCTCCCTGTCCGCTTCTCTGGAGCAGCAGAAAACAACCTTTCTCCCTCCTCTATGTGACATCCTTTTATATATTTGAACATGGCTATCATATCACCCCTTAACCTCCTCTTCTCCAGGCTAAACATGCCCAGCTCCCTTAGCCGTTCCTCATAAGGCATCGTTTCCAGGCCTTTGACCATTTTGGTTGCCCTCCTCTGGACACGTTCCAGTTTGTCAGTGTCCTTCTTGAACTGTGGTGCCCAGAACTGGACACAGTACTTCAGGTGAGGTCTGACCAGAGCAGAATACAGTGGCACTATTACTTCCCTTGATCTAGATGCTATACTCCTATTGATGCAGCCCAGAATTGCATTGGCTTTTTAGCTGCCGCATCACACTGTTGGCTCATGTCAAGTTTTTGGTCAACCAAGACTCCTAGATCCTTTTCACATGTACTGCTCTCAAGCCAGGTGTCACCCATCTTGTATTTGTGCCTCTCATTTTTTTGCCCAAGTGCACTACTTTACATTTCTCCCTGTTAAAATTCATCTTGTTTGTTTTGGCCCAGTTCTCTAATCTGTCAAGGTCGTTTTGAAGTGTGATCCTGTCCTCTGGGGTGTTAGCCACCCCTCCCAGTTTGGTGTCATCTGCAAATTTGATCAGGATGCCCTTGAGTCCATCATCCAAGTCGTTGATAAAGATGTTGAATAAGACCGGGCCCAAGACAAAACCCTGTGGCACCCCACTAGTCACTCTTCTCCAGGATGAAGAGGAACCATTGATGAGCACCCTTTGGGTTCGGTCAGTCAGCCAGTTACAAATCCACTGAGTGGTAGCATAGTCAAGACCGCATTTTACCAGCTTCTTTACAAGAATATCATGGGGCACCTTGTCATTACTGTATGAAGTGGCATGATGCTGCTCTGAATGTATGGTGCCAGTCTGAAGGGAGAGTGACGTCCAGTTGTATTAGCCTGAATGCCACATTGATCCAGTAGTTCTTGGAAAGTTGAACGAAAACTCTGCCCTCTGGCATTTCCCCATGGCTCAGCATGAAGCAGGCATACTGCATGCCTGCAATGGTTTCCAGAAATAAGAGCGTTTAGGAAGTGTGATAACCACGACAGACTAAATTTGGGGATGGAAAAATGCAGAAGCCTGTTCATATTCACATTTTAACACATTAGCGAAAGTGACAATGTAAGACATTTTGCAGTGTGCTTAACAGCTGGGAGGATAAATGCCAAAGGTTTTCTCCCATAAAGCTCCCATAAAGCATGTATGGCACCTGGGAATCTCAAACTTGGGTGCAAGGAGTTGCTGAATATTTGGAGGAAACTGCTTCAAGCCTACTTGACGTCACAGTTGTGCAAGCAGTTTCTTCAGCATAGCAAACCCTGAAAATGTTGGTAAATGTATTTCCAATGTCTATTAATACTAAAGGTATTGAATAATAATAAGACTTCCTAACATCTAGTACTTTGAACATCCAAAGCACTTCAGATGCATTAACTGGCTATAATCCTTACAAGAAAGATATTGCTGGACTCCAGCTCCCATCCTTCCTGGCTGTTGGCCCTGCTGGCTGGGGCTGATGGGAGCCCAAAGACCTCTGGGTTCCCCAGCCCTGCTGTACTCTGTCCACCCCACCCCACCAGCTTTCTTTGGCTGAGGGGAATTAAGGCTGAAAGTCCACTGGACTCCCATGTCAGGGAGACCCTTCAGCCTCTGCTGATTTCTTATTTCCATTTTGTGTTGTGTGGTACCTGATTGCAACATAATCTCTTAATGTGATGACATGGGCGAGGTGCCCTGGAAAAGAGAGAAAGGTATGCATTGGTTTTATTGCTTAGAAGCGGTTCTTTTCTCAGTCTTTCTCTCTCGCTCTTCTTTTCAGGGCTTCTCAATTGGTTGCAAAAAAGAGCTGCTCCAACAGTGCGGACGTTGGCAGACGCTGCTTCCTTGGCTCAGAAGTCTCTGTGGAAACTGGGTCGACTGAACCATGTGGCTATTGCAGTGCCCAATTTAGAAAAAGCCACCTCTTTGTACAGGGATGTGTTGGGTGCTCAGGTGAGCAAAATGGTACCCCTTCCTGAACACGGCGTCTACACAGTCTTTGTGGACCTGGGCAACACAAAGTTGGAACTTCTGCACCCACTAGGGGAGAACAGTCCAATCGCTGGTTTCCTGAAGAAAAACAAGGAGGGAGGAATGCACCATATCTGCATTGAGGTATTTCCACTCCTCTTTCTTTTTGTTTGAAATTTTTTTTTTAATCACATTGAAAAACCTGGATGCTTTACTTCATCGTAAGGCAGCGTATTTGAAATTCTGAGAATCCTAAGGTTCTTTACTACCTGATTTCTTTACTTCCTTTGAAGGGGTCAAATTTCTAGCCTTCATTAAGGTATGTTTTGAGAAGCTTGTTTGTGAATTGGGGTGATCTAATTTAGAAAAAAAGATGAGCAAGGGACCAATATGAAAGAGTTATATAAAGCCTAGTGTGGTGTGGAGACAGAGCTTCTCTCTGCCCCTTTCTCTCCTTTCTCGTAGGAGTAGAACCCACTGAGATCATCCAGCAAATCTGAACTAAGATTTAGGACAGACGAAAGGAAGCACTTCTTAAAAAGCACATGGTTAAACTATGGAATTTTCTATCACAGGATGTAGAGATGGCCACCAACTTGGATCGCTTTAAAAGGGGATTAGATGCATTCTGGGAGGAGAAAAAAGCTGCCAGAGGCTATATAGACCCTGATCAGGCTTCTCTGAATCGCAGTTGCTGGAGGTCACAGGCAGGAGGGGCTATTGCCCTCGTGTCCTGCGTCTGGTTTGCCACTCCTTGTGGGGAAAGCACAGCCTACACAACGCCTTTGGTTTGCTACAGCAGCAGCCAGGCTGTCCTTGGCTTGTTAGTTTTTAAAGCACAAACCTGTTTTCCAGCCTTCGCATCTCTTGTGATCTTCAGCCAATTTTCTTTTTTTAATGTTGAGATTCAGTATTGTTTCCAACATATCCTTCTTAGACAAAAGTTTTCTTTTCTTTTAAAGGTGAACAGTATAACAGATGCCATAGCTGAACTGAAGGAGAAGAAGATCCGTGTTCTGAGCGAAGAGCCCAGAATTGGGGCCCATGGGAAACTGGTGGTTTTCCTCCATCCTAAGGACTGCAACGGAGTCCTAGTGGAACTTGAGCAAGCCTGAGTTGCGATCCTAACTGTGATAAGAAGAAATTAATGCCTATACTAAGAGAGGAGATGAGGCATATTTTCTGTGTTTTAAAATTACTACTCCTGATTTACTTGTTATTGAGGGTTTTTTCCCTGACTGAAAAGCATTAATGATAATGTGATTTGCCTTAAGAAGGAAAATTTAAATCTTGAAACACCAGTCTTAATTTGGGAAGACACATTTTAGTCACTTGAACATCACCAAAATAAATTTTATTTGGCTGCCTTAGGATTCCTTTGAAGTGTATCTTGCAACAGTAAGCTGGGTGCATTTTATGCACGCTCTCCCTCTGGGCATAATTTTGCATCCATTTGGTAGATTTCTAGGTCATCTGCCATCACCCTGCTCTACATTTGTAAGTGACAAGTAAGGCAAGGGCGAGGTGTCTGGTTTTTTTTGTTTTTTCAGTAATTCCTTCAGTATTCCCTTAAGAAAACAGCCAGCAAGGGATCATCATATTCTCTGTGTTCACCTGTCTAAAGACTCATTGACTACTCCATTGATTGGTTCACTCAATCATAAGATGCTTATGGTCTTGTCTGGGTCCCCATGATTGCTAAGCAAGTCTTCTCTCCCCCCCCCCCATCCGCATGAGAATTTGGGCCTTTTGATTACCTTTTGATTACCAATATTTGCTCTCATTTGATCACCAGTGTCACTTGCATAATTTATAGTAGTTTGTCTGCATTTATTATTTTGAATTATTACTGATGGTGCATAATAAAACATGATTTTTGTTTCTCTACTTAGTTCTTTCTAAAACTAAATGAGCTTTAATTGGCAGCCCAAACTAACAAAATGAGTTTCAATAGGGACAAATGTAAGGTTCTGCACTTAGGCAGGAAGAACCAGATACACAAATATAGGATGGGGGACACCTGGCTTACTAGCAGTACATGTGAAAAGGATCAAGGGGTCTTAGTGGGCCACCAGAAGCTTGACATGAGTCCACAGTGTGATGCAGCAGCAAAAAAAGCTAATGCTATTCTAGGCTGCATCAAGAGAAGTCTAGTGTCCGGATCAAGGGAAGTCACAGTCCCACTCTCTTCTGCCTTGGTCAGACCACACCTGGAATACTGTGTCCATTTCTCGGCTCCACAATTTAAGAAGGATGCTGACAAGCTGAAACTTGTGCCAAGGAGGGAGACCAAGAGGATCAAGGGTCTGGAAACTAAGCCTTAGGAGGAGCGGTTGAAGGAACTGGGTATGTTTAGCCTGGAAAAGAGGAGACTGAGAGGAGATAGGATACCCATCTTCAAATATCTGAAGGGCTGTCACATGGAGGAGGGAACAAGCTTGTTTTCTGCTGCTCTGGAGGGGAGAACTCGAACCAATGGCTTCAAGTTATAAGAAAGGAGATTCTGACTGAACACCAGGAAGAACTTTCTGACAGTAAGAGCTGTTTGGCAATGGAACAGTCTCCTGTGGGAGTTGGTGGACTCTACTTCCTTGGAAGTTTTTGAGCAGAGGTTGGATGGCCATCTGTCAGAGATGCTTTAGCTGAGATTCCTGCATTGTAGAGGGTTGGACTAGATGACCCTCAGGGTCCCTTCCAACGCTACAATTCTATGAACCTTATGCATGTTTGTCGCTTTCAGTGAGGTGTATCTCCAGGTAGCTGGGAATAAGATTACAATCTTAGTTTACTGAAACACTGGGTACAATCTGAGAAGGACTATACCACACAATATTGCTGAACTTTTGGTTTGTCACTGACAAGAAGGAGCACAAAAACTGCCACACTGGCAGGATAGGTGTGGTAGGTGACTGCCATATACAAGCTGAAGAACAGTTACAGCAAAACCTGGGACAGGAGAAGTTGGTTTTGAAGAGGGAGCAATTTAAATAATGCAAATGGGGTCTAGAGAGAGAAAAGAAATCCTGATAACACTTTACTAGAGAAAACTGAAGAACAGTGTATAATTTGAGGGAAAACAAATGGAGAATAGAATCATAGTTTTGTCTTTCTTACTGCAGGCCTTGTACATAGCAGAGAGACACTCAACTAAACCATACTGAGATAAAACTTACAAAGACCTACACAGCCAATTTCAGCACATGCTAACAGATCCACCACCACAATGCTTCTTGGTTAGATGACTTACTGGTAGTCAAATTAACTCTCAAGTTACAAACTGAACGATCTCTGTAGTTGCACTGTACCTTTACTGTGCACAGGGAGATGTTAGACTTGCAGAATAGATTTTGTTGCTCAATAACCTTGAAATTTGCTCAGAGCCAGCCTAAGACATCTTGCCGTCTGAGGCCAAGGACAAGATGGCACCACATTCCCTTCCACCTACAGAACTTTAGAAGATTGGCAGTAGAATCTTGGTTCTTGCATTTATATCCCACCTCCCGTCATGGGTCTTAAGGCTACATATATGTGGTTCCCAGACGGTCACCCACCCAGACACAGATAAGACCCAGACATGCTTAGCACCATCAACGGGGGGGGGGGGGGGTTCTTGTGTGCCTTGGGACCAAGACTGACAGCAGCTTACAGGTGAAACTCGGAAAATTAGAATATGTTGGAAAAGTTCATTTATTTCAGTAATTCAACTTAAAAGGTGAAACTAATATAAGAGATAGACTCAAGACATGCAAAGCGAGATATGTCAAAGCCTTTATTTGTTATAATTGTGATAATCATGGCTGATGAAAACCCCAAATTAACAATCTCAGAAAATTAGAATATTAAATGAAACCAGCAAAACAAGGACTGCAAATAGAGCAATATTGGACCTCTGAGAAGTAGAAGCATGCATATGTACTCAGTACTTGGTTTGGGCCCCTTTTGCATCAATTACTGTCTCAATGCGGCGTGGCATGGATGTTATCAGCCTGTGGCACTGCTGAGGTGTTATGGAAGACCAGGATGCTTCAATAGCAGCCTTCAGCTCTTCTGCATTGCTGGGTCTCATGTCGCTCATCTTTCTCTTGGCAATGCCCCATAGATTCTCCATAGGGTTCAGGTCAGGCGAGTTTGCTGGCCAATCAAGCACAGTAATCCCATGGGCATTGAACCAGGTTTTGGTACTTTTGGCAGCGTGGGCAGGCGCCAAGTCCTGCTGGAAAATGAAGTCAGCATCCCCATAAAGCTCGTCTGTGAAAGAAAGCATGAAGTGCTCCAAATTCTCCTGGAAGATGGCTGCGTTGACCCTGGATGAAGCAGAGTGGACCAACACCAGCTGATGACATGGCTCCCCAATTCTCTTTTCTGATGAGAGCAGCTTTTGCATCTCATTTGGAAACCAGGGACCCAGAGTCTGGATGAAGAATGGGGAGGCACACAATGCCAGATGCTTGAAGTCCAATGTGAAGTTTCCACAGTCTGTTGATTTGGGGAGCCATGTCATCAGCTGGTTCCTAAGAAACCTTGCTGCTTGGGGTAAAGATAATATGGTGTCTCCCACACCCCAATTTCTGCACTGAAGCCAATGACACTTCTTATCTTTTACTTAGGGGTGAATACGTCAGTTTCAGTTACTCCCCATTTCTCGTTTTGCCAGTCTGAAGCTCAATTCTCTGCACCAGTTTCCAAGAAATAAATAAAAAACTTAGAGCAAATTTCCCCTAACAAATGGATTTTTGTATGCAATTTTGTCTAGTACAGTGGTACCTCGGGTTAAGAACTTAATTCATTCTGGAGGTCCCTTCTTAACCTGAAACTGTTCTTTACCCGAGATACCAATTTAGCTAATGGGGCCTCCTGCTGCTACTGTGCCGCCGCCACACGATTTCTGTTCTCATCCTGAAGCAACGTTCTTAACCCGAGGTAATATTTCTGGGTGAGTAGAGTCTGTAACCTGAAGCGTCTGTAACCTGAAGCATCTATAACCCGAGGTACCACTGTATACACATTTTGCAAAGCAATTTCTTGGCAATATGATGCTTTTTGGTACATTATTTTCACTAATATATGCATTTGTATGGATGCTTTAACCCAGCATATGTGCTTTTGTACACATTACTCAGACAGAGGTAATTCAGAAACACGAGAATTTCAAAGAGTGCCTGGTGTCTGGTTCATGTATTGTTTCAGGAAATGTGAATTAGGTAAGTTCACCCTGAAAATGCAAAGTGAGCCAAACTTCTCCTCCATCCTAGTCTGATGTCAGCATTGCTTACTGGTCTGAGGGCAGCTGGGAACACAACTCCATTCTCCAACACCTCACTGCGGCTGCCCACCCTCAGCATCAGAGGAGCCAACTCCTAGGGGCCAAGGTCCCTTCGCCCCCCTCCCAATAAAATATTTGAGGGGGCCGGGACCCCCCAAAGTTTTTTAAAATGTATTTTTATTAAAGATTTTCTTGATTTACAAAAGTGTGTGCAATGTCTCTCTTATTCCCCCCCCCCCATGTAATATTTTTCTTTTTTTTACAAATCAGTTTCATTTGTTGAGACATTAGGAAGAAAAGGGGGAAAGAGGTGGATGGGGGGAAAGATGAGTGGGGGTGGGGTCAGGTGGCGATGTTTCTATTTTACTTAATGTATGTGGGGTTTGGTGTCAGCGTTGCTTGTGCAGGTTCTCTGCTGTTCGCTTGTGTTCCTTTGGTGGTGAGAGAGGTTGGGGTTGGCCCAGGGTGTGGTTGTTCATTTGTGGTTGGCTGTGGTGGTCGTTGTTTTCATGTGTGAGTAGGGTGGGTGGGTGTTTTTGCCCAATCACAGAGAAATTAAAAACTGCCCCACAAAATCCCCATTCCCCCAAAATGGCCCCTAGTGGCTGAGCATGGCATTTCCTGCTTCAGTTTGTTCTTCCCTCGTCATCGGCCTTTAAATGAACTACAGTATCAGGGTTATGGTAAAATATTCAAATTCTTCCACTGTTTTTATGTTTTTATACTTTTCCTTAAGGGGAGCATAAAACACCTTCTTAATAGCACCCCTAATTAAGAGCACATTAAACTCACACATTTTATATAGCACTTTCCGGAGCAGACACAGAGAGAAAGCAAACTTTGATTTCTGCTATAATTTTACCTTCAGTCAAAACTGAATAATTCATCACCCGGCAATGTCTAACGTATAGATGAATGTGTAATACCCCCAAGTTGTAAGAGACTTCATTAAGGCCTGATTTCGGAAACGGACGCAAGTGCTGTAACTGCTCTACTTTAGCTGGCGTGCTGGTCCATCTGCTTTTCCATCTGTAACGTCATTTTACGTATATCAAAAGGAAACTGATGGCCTTCTAAAGAGGATAAACCCCTAAAGGGCAGGGTGAGAGAATCCAGCGAGAAAGCCTATGAACAAGAATATTGAAAGAATCTCAATGCTATGCTGTCTAATGTTTTGCAGGTGAAGAGGAGACCTGTTCAATGTGCTCCTACCCTTCTCATCCGTCTCCACCAATTTATTTCACACCACTGAAGGCCCTATCCTGCCTGGCATATGAAGGCTGTATTCAGCATACCCTAAAACAGCTTCCAGCCACTGCTTTTTAAGAATCAAGCTGTGGGTTGTCCTTTTGCTTTAAAAACATTTTAAAATGTTCTGAACAGTGGTTCAGAACATACCTTAGGCCACGTTCCAGTGGGCTTGAAATGGCAGGATGTGCACTGCTGTGGTGCTTGTGCACATTCATTTATTTAAGAGCATCAGAAGAGCCTTCAGGATCAGGCCAAAGGGGGAGGCACCTTGTTCTCACAGTGGCCAACCAGGTGCCTGTGGGGAACCTGAGAGCAGGCCCTGAGCCCAGGAGCCCCCTCCCCACCTGGGGCTTCCAGCAACTGGGATTCAGAAGCAT